TCAAACAGAAAAAGGAAGCCTACAGAGGGTGGAAGCAGGAACAGGTAGCCTGGGAGGAATATAGACAAAATTGTAACCAGGGATCAGATTATGGAAGCCAAAACCCTGATGGAATTAAACTGGCCAGGGACATCAAGGAGAACAAGAAAAGCTTCATTTGGTACATTGATAAAAGAAAAACCAAGGGAAATGTGGGCCATCTCCAGGAAAGGAGATGAAGGAAAGGAAATGGAAGACTTGGTTACCCAGGTGGGACATGGAGAAGGGTTAGGTCTCAATGATGTTTTTGCCTCCACTTTGACCAGCAGGGGCTCCAGCTCTACCAACCAAGTCACAGAAGGCAAAGGCAGTGACTGGGGGAATGAAGAGCCACACAATGTAAGGGAAGAACAGGTACCAGAGCACCTAGAGAATGTGAAAGTGTACAAATCCATGGAACCTGATGAGATGCACCCATGGGTCCTTAGGGCACCAGTGGATGCAGTGGCTAAGCCACTATCCACCGTATTTGAGAAATCGTGGCAGTCTGGTGAAGTTCGCAGTTGGTGGACAAGGAATTGGCTGGATGGTCACTCTCCAAAAGTTGTGGTCTGCAGCCTCAATGTCCACGTGGAAACCAGTGATGAGTGGTGCTCCTCAGGGGTCAGTATGGAGGCTGATGTTGTCTAACACCTCCGTCAGTGACAGGGACTGTGGATGGAATGCAGCCTCAGCACGTTTGCTGGGGACAAGAGCTGAGTGGTGCTGTCAATGTGGTGGAGGGAAGAGACGCCACCTTGACAGGCTTGGCCCACATGAACCTTATGAAGCTCAACAAGGCCAATGTAAGGTCCTGCACCTGGATTTTGGTATCCACCCCTGGAAGTGTTCAAGGCCAGTTTAGGTGGGCCTTTGAGTAACCTGGTGTAGTGGAAGGTGTCCCTGCCTAAGGCAAAGGGCTGGAACTAGATGGTCTTTAAGGTCCCTCTCAACCCAAACCATCTTAGGATTCTGTGATTCTACAAATATGAGCTGATGTGTTGGTAAAAATATGTTCAGTCAAAAAATGCTAGGAAGATAAGACACCCATTTCTTTCCACAAGAGGTGACAGATAAGGTGAAAAATGCACAACTGAATGAGAATCTATGGAAGCTTGCAAGCCTGTTTCTAAAACCCAGCAGCAAAGCAACCTTTGTGTGCTCCTTTGGAGCAATGGCTGAGAACAAGAGCTGGAAAAGAAATGGGGCTTTAGCAAGAAGGTGGTAAGGTTTTAATGCTAAAGAATTGATAAAACCCTGTATGAATTCATCAGCATTTGTCCTGAGAAAAGAACAAGTCATTGATCTACAAAGGCAGAGAATGTATTTTTTTTTAAAGGAATTACCATATAATGTTTCATAGACCATTATTCTAAACCAAATCCAGAGAAAATACAATACTGAAGTCAGTCTGCCATTGTAGAAGTGGGCTTTGCGTTTAGCAGTTTAGTTTTGGCTTTAAAACCAAAGGAGGCCAGTTACTTATTCTGACAAAGCCGCTTTGCATTGCCCTTCCATCTCTTAACTTCATCATGAAAACTCAAAAGGAGTTTTGAAACAGACACATTACAAGATTCATTTGACAAAATGAATCATTAACTTCATATTCTTCTCCAAAATCTGGAACCGATGGAGTGTCCAGAGGACAGCTGAAGGCAGATATGTGCCTCCTATCCCACCAAAGCACAGGAATTCCTGCCTCATAATGGTCCTTTTGGGTTGACCACACTTGTGGTAACTCCAAGCAGGCTGGAAGCTGCTGCAGGCTTTGCTTGGGAAGGGAGAGGAGTTAGGTAAAGCTCAGAAGATGAACTAGCCCAGGGAATTACAGGGGGATTTCAGGCATGAATCAGATCATGTTAGGTCAAAGCACACCACAAGAAGTGATGCCTTCAAACCTGAACAAAATGGGACTAAAAACATTGCTTTGGAATCCTGGTCTGTGACTTGTACATAGATGTAGGAAATTTCACCCTATTAAACAAATTCTGGTTGCATTCATATGTTAACTAAGAAAGAGGTGTTCTTGCCTCCATTCAGATCACATTCAGATCATTGAGGAAAGCCCAAAGCTGCTGATTTTTTGGGGAAGATCAGCCTGGTACAGGCTGCAGGAAGGTTTTGGACACAGCAGTTCTGTTTGCGCACAGCTAAATCCATGAGCTTTCCCTACAAAGCTCTTAATTTGTAGCATTTCCAGTCAATTTTTGGAATGGACCTTTCAAGTCACAAAAATAAGCAAGTTACCCTCATTATCACTGCATTACAGCCTCACCCAGGACAGCAATGCTGGTTCACGTGCTACACAAGTAGGTGAGCGTGTTCTCTCTGTGTGAGTTAACCTTTAACATAAATCAGCTGAGACTCCGACCCACATAAACTGTGACCTAACAACAGGGCATTTCTTCTTCCCTTCAGTTTCAAACACAGCAGCTTGTCTTTTCATTTACATGAAGATCTTTTACATCAATTACATCTGAATTTTACGCTATAATTAAGATCCCTTTGCACCAAAAAAAATTGGTTCAAAATGCATTAATTAACTACATTAAATAAGCACACAAGAGACTGCCTTGTATTTTTTGTTCCTCATCTAAGAATTCTGTGAAGCCAGATGCAATTCACAAAATTTCTCAGCTTCACAAGCATTTCTCCTTCAAATTCTTAGACCTTTTGGACATGTTACTGGCTTCTGTGAGGGCTCTCAAGCAGCCAAAAATGTGTTTCTCTTCCTATATCCTGCTGTGTGTACCTTTGCTAAATCCTTCACAACAGGTTTTCCTCAAAAGCTGAGAACTTTCCACAGCTAAGGTTTTACCTACAAAGTTCTGCAGACAGACTCTCCTGAGATGCTGACCTCACTTGTTTAATGATTTCTCTCCAGCTACTGCATTCTTACAGCAACTGTACACAGGAGTTCTGGCTGGTTGTAAGAACCAGGGAAAGGCTTGTCCAAGTGTATTCAGGGGACTTAAATGTAACAGCAGAGACAATCCTGTTAATCCACAAGGCAATTAAAAGAATTTGTCTTAAGCGTCCAGGATTTTATCTTCATTGTCTCTTCTCCTGTTATTATGTAAAGCAAATTTTTGTTTCATTTAAATTCCTTATTATGGCTGTGACAGATGGGTATAGAAACTATGGAGTAATTGCAGAAGGGTAGTCGTTAGTAGGGAAAGACAGAAAGGAATGCTTAGTTGGAAACAGTGATCTTCCATAATTCATCAAAATGCCAAGATTGCTGAATACTCACTTCAAACACAGAGTCTTTGCTGCTATTTCACTTTACAATGGGTTTGTCCAAATGAGAGTATTGTGCAGAATTCTGTTTTACTGGTTTCTGGTGTCTTTAGCACAGAGGAAATAAATGATGAAGAATTCCCCATGCTCATCAAAAAAAGGCCCTTTGCAAAGCTTACTGGGAATCTTTGTGCAAGAAAAGGGAAGGGTTGGAAGCTACGACCACATGAAACACAAATCATAATCCATGTTCAGAATACCTGGCTGGCAGCACCCAAAATGCTGGAGGGATAGATCTGTTAATGCCATATAGTGTGTTCTCCCTCTGCACTGTCTGCTTAGCTCCTCTGGGATGGAAGGAAAGATAATGGCAGCCTTTGGCTTCATGCCTGTCATTGCCATGACATTACCATACGTTCCCTTCAGCATTGTGTATATCTCCCTTTACCTCCCAGCAGCAGCAGCATCAATTACTCAACAGGAAACGTCTTGAAATAAGCCTCTCATTTGAGGAGTCTGCCAAAATGAAAACACTTTTAGAAAGAGAAAACTGATCTCATAAACAGAAATAAATCTGAAATTAACTGAAACCAAAATCACATGTTTCCCCCCTACGCCCCCACCCAGGTCTCTGGATGTTGGGAACCTTAAACTCCATTCTCAAACTAAATTAGACTCGCAGTCTGAAAACTGACCTCAGACTCAAACTTTGGTGGAGTGGCTTCAGATGATATGTTCTGTACTTAGATATAAATGCACAGCTTTAGATCCCCTGTACTCACAAGTTGTTTCCTAGAAACAAAACCTTATGATTTTCCATTCAATTAGATTGTGTATTTTAATTAATTCTCTAGTCTTTCTCTGGAAACAAATCATCAAATAGAAGAGACATCTGCACTGTTCTAATTGACTTAAAGAGAAATTATGAATGTACAACCTTTGGGTTGATTTGACACCTGGATTATTTCTCACTGAGAAAAATAATTCATCTGTCCACAAGCAAATTTTGGGAAGAGAGAGTGTGATAATTTCATCAAATAAGCATTAGGAAAAAAAGCGGGCCGGAATTACACACATTTACTGAGTACAGCCTCTACTACATCCACTGTTAGGGCTTCACTTTGAAGAGTGAAACGAAACAGCAACAGATTATTTATTTCTGAGGTTTCCATAATAGAGAAGGGAGGATCCTGGTCCATGTATTTAGCTATAGACCATCTAGGAATTCTTCTGAGTAAAATACACCAGGATTTGCAGTTGCCACCTTTACTCCTTCTGACAGAAATAATTCCATTGAATTTTTTTTTCCCCCAAGACATTGGGTTTACATTTTATTAAAAGGATAAAGCTGTTATATCTAGAAAGCAAGAAGCCTTTTCAAAAAAAGAGTACCTTGAACTAATTTTTACAGAATACAGACCATTTACTTCACAAAATTAAACTCTTGTACTTGGAATTTCATGTACAAAACACAAACCTTGAGAACAATTCCCATAAGGATTCATTTAACAGGCTTCATTATGTGGAAAGGGTATAAAGCAACCAAAAACTTAAAATGGCTGCTCGGCATTATACTGTTCTGTGGCTGCAAGTGTGATTTAGAGCTATGCATTTTCTGCCCTTGTTTCTTTAGCTTAGTTCTGAATTATAAATGAACAACTGGATCCTGGCATTCTTCTTCGGGTTCGAAAATAAAATTAACCTGTTTGAGGGAAACTTTTTAAACACATTCAGCCAATGAATTCTTTATAAGGAAATGCTTTATTTGAAGAAAAAAGACCCCAACCCATCTCAGACCTTTCAATTTTGCTTTTAAACAAAGAGTAAAGATAGGTAGATGTAAAACGAGGCCAAGCAGTTCCATGTCAGCTTGTTTGATGCAGTTCAAGTAACTGTAGATAACCAATTCACAATGCTTTGTGTGAACAAATATTTACGCAATGAAAAGGCAACTGGTTTGCTTTGGCTTGATTTGAATTTAGACGTGCAGTAATCCACACTTATCCACACATGTTAGGTATTTGACAACATGTGAAGTCTTTAAAATCACTTTCTGTCTGCCTGACAACATAAATCTTTTTGTCTGCTCAACACTTGCGGTCCATATCTGTTATTAAATAATGTACGCAAATGCTGCAACAAACGAATCATAAATAATTACTGAGGTTTTTTTTTAATAGATGACGCAAGTCCCTGCCTCAGGGGCTTGCTGTCTACCTCAAAAATGGGCTAAAAATATGGAAAATTATACACAACACCAGAAATTAGCAGGGGTCTGGCACTGCTCAATACTAAAGGCTTGAGAGATGATGTTGGTATGAAGGAAGAGGAGACAGAACTGTGAAGTTTAAAGCCAAGAGCACACTAACACCAAAAAGTCATCTAAGTTTGACTTTCACACTGCGTGTGATCTCAAGACCTGCTGGAGGGAGAATCACCAGGTAGCCAGTCCTTGCTGTATTTCGAGCTCTGTCACTGCTAGACCTGAATGTTTATCATTAAACAGATGCATATCTAGAAGGTGTGACCAATCTGAGAGATGCTGCTGTGCTTCGTGTTTGCAGGCCCCCAGCTGAGCATGGAGCTTGTCCTTGTGCCTTTCCAAAAGCCCCAGCATGTGGCCATTTGTGACTCCATGGGGCATTCCCAAGGATTAAGGCAGACTGGTGGAGATGACTGTCCAGGGACTTTGCATCCTCTGACCACAGCCACCAAAATAGCTCTCGAGCTGTCAACCACAGTCCTGGAGAACAGGGAAGGTTCTTCAGCTCTCTCCTTGTATTACAGGCCTGGATTAGGCTGATTTAGCCCTTTTTTTTTTTTTTTTTTTTTTAGTAAATAAGGCATCAGGATCTGCCAACAACATTCCTCTCATTTTATCTGATCTCATAAGAATTATTTTTAGTAAGAACTGGTTTGCCCTGAAAGAAAGCTATTCTCTAAAAAAAGCTTTGTACACTTAAGACATATGGGACAGAAGGAAGCCTGCATCTAGCATTACTTTTTTCTTTCAGTCACCAGAAAAACCCTGAAATTGCCCTTTTTAGCAAAGAGAAAAGATAAATGGGTTCGTTCTGAATCAAAAATAATAGATATGTCTTGTGCCATTCTTGACAATCATTTCTGAAGCCTCATTAGCTCACAGAACATGTGCACAACTCCTACCTCTAAGAAATTTACACAGGTGTAATTCCACCGAAATAACAGCTGAATAGCTGTAGTAGAGTGAGAACTATTTTTGTCACTTCTCTCACAAGAATTAATTGAAATAGATACTTAACAGAGGTAGCAGGCAGCCAGTCCCCCTTTCTGGCAATCTTACAAGCACTGGAGACATTGCTTGGGGTCATCATACTCTGTATTTTGGTGCACAGACTTAGTGAATGGCATGCATGTTATGCTTACTAAGCTACTTTGGATAAACATGGAAAAAATCTAGTGATGTAGTTGTCACAGACCAAAATGGTTTCATGTGCTATGTGATTTGAAGGGAGATTCCTTTGCTGTGTGTCATTTACCTTTTATACATTGCTGCTGTGCAGTATTTCATAACCATTCATTCTCTGGATGCCCACACTGACATTGTTATATACATAAAGCATAAAAAAATGGGAACTCCGTGTTCTTATTCGACGTCACATTATAGTCCACAAACAGCTTTATTGCTCTTTACCATGTTTGGGAACAAAGGCAAAGGGATGACGTATGTCTCACTGTAGAACAATTTCCTCCTCACACTAGGAAAACAGAGCTCCTCTCTTTTACATATGGTTTAAGTACACATGCATAGCCTTGGGACATCAGGATCTAAGGAGAAAAACCTCTCATGTTTCATATGTAAATCAGTGACAGCCGTGGTCATGTGCTATATGATAAATAAGCTGGCATGGTGGAGTCAGCAAAAAACTTTAATGCTATAACATCATTTCTCAAGCCATGATCCTGCAAGTCATAAGGATTTTTGAGTAGCTTAGGCCCTGTCGTGAATTAACTGTTGGCATAAGTGATACAACAGCAAACAGCTTCCTAGATAATGAACTTTTTTGGGAAAAGGAGTGCTTGTGTTTCTCTGGCATACAGCATAAGACCATCTCACTGATTGCTGCCTTCTCTGGCACACCTGGAGTGCACTCCCTATGCCTCAGTCACTGTGAATTCCTTGAATCCACTGACACCGTGGGGAGATAATTACGATATTTAGGTTACAACAGGAATTGAAGGTAATGTGAGATCTGTTTCTCCCTCCTGCCCCCCGTGGCACTCTGAAAACACCATGCCATGCCTCTATGTCTCTATTTCTGCCTTCATGGTGATAATTTCCCCATCCTAGGAAGTCTGAGAGCCTGTAAACGTGTTTAATGTGAACTGAGGTCTTCGGTTGCAATTTTCAAAGCAGATGTAGCCACTTTGTAAAGGAGGTTGTTACATTATGGATAATAAAGATAAGGTTTCCTGTAGCTGAAGTTTTTGCACTCTCCATTTAATTCACTGTTTTCTTACTGAATTACAGTATTCCAACTTTAGCAAGTACTAACGATGACAGCTAAAAGTTACACTTTTGTAGATGTTCATCTCATCTCAGTACTCTGGGATAATTCTAGCCCAAGTAACCCAAGGAAAAATGAAGGATACTTTTTTTTTGCCTTAAAAACATTCACATCCTCCCTGAAGGAGGGACGGATAACAAATGCTGATATCAAGGAGGCAACTTTTGCTATTCCTTTCACAAGCCTCTCATTTTGACCAAACCTCTGACAATTTCTTTTCAGTCATTCAGTAAAGAATGGGCAGGCTTGGATTAAACTTGTGTGCTGTGACAGAGAGCAGGGTGAAAATGCAAGGGAAGCAGCCCTGTGACAAGATATTTGGGGTACCTGAAATATCACAGAGCTTGGAAGCAAGGGAGCCTAGGATGAGGAGTAGAAGAAGGAGCTCCTGGCAGCTGGAATATGGCAATGGTGGGGACTAAAACCTGAAGCTGAAAGGAGACTGAGAAACAAGGATGGAGACAAGGAGATGTAAAGCTGAAAGTGCTAAATCAGGAGTGTAAGAAGGAAAAGCTAGAGTAACTAGGAGTTGAACACTTCAGAGTTGTGTTAAGAGCTGACACTGTGTCTAGATGGGTTCCTCTCAGAATCTGGAATAGAACCCAAAATTTCTGACTTGCACATTTTTCAATTTTTCCTACTGAGATCTACTAAAAATAATAGACACCTTTTCTCCTTGCAACCTGCACAGGGATGATACACTGCTGCACAGTGAGAGTTGTCTGTGAACCTCTGCTTCAATCTGTGGATCTGGAATTCCTTCCAATAAAACAAATGGAACTGAATATAGTAACGTGAAAGGAAATCAACTTTCTTTCCTTAAAAAGCTAAGAAATTCTTTGATATGCATGTGTTTGTGTATATATATATACACACATAAAGTAGTGTGAAGGGAACTTGTAATGTCACTGCCTTCAGAAAGCAGGAAATACAGGAATGCAACAATCAGAGCTCAACCATTTCTCATCTGCCCTGAGCAATTCCATTTTTATCCAGTCTATTTCTTACACCTAGTGCAGAGATTCCTCCAAGTCCTCTGGTGCTCCACAGTTACCTCAGCCTTTAAGTTCTTGGGAAGTGTTTGAGTAGTGATAGTCCCTAAGTCAGAGATCCAGTCTCTTCACAATTTGAAGAATCTGGACTATAATTCCATAGCTGGAACTTTTCACCACAGTGCTCAAATAGAATTCAACCAACCCCCAGCTTATCTTGCTGTTCTTCCTACTCTTCCTCTTCTTATTTTTTCTTTGCTTCTTGGGCTTTTATTTCTATTTTTTTTTCACACTTTTTCAACAAAATTGAAAGCATTCTATATTTCTTCATCACTCTTTTTCTTTCCACCTCTTCTGTTTCTGTGCTTCTTTTCCACAATTAGCTCTTTTTTTTCCTTCTTAATTTTTATTTCTCTCTCTTGTAACAAGAAATGAAGCTTGGATCTTAATTAATTAATCAATTATCTTAATAATTATTTAAACCTCTATTACGTCTTCAGACCACCATGACAGTCACAAGAGTTAATTTTTTTTTTCCCCTATAAAAACTGATCCTAGGCAGCCTTCCAATTATGATATCAGTCTTGTAACGTTTGCCTGAATTTGCTGACATCCTGAAAGAATGATCTCAAGAGGTGTATTCTCCTGGCTGAAAGGGCCAGCAATGACACATCACAGTCAGTTGTTAGCCTGCCCACAGCTGATTATTTTGGGGGTTGGAATGGTGCAAGTAGAGAGAATGGAGCCCCCCAAGAGGAGAGATCTGGAAACAGCTGGAATAAAGATGTGCAGGAAAGATGAGGGGTTAGGAAAAGAAAATCCAAGGAGAAAAAGGAGGATCTTGAGAGCCCAGAGGCAGAAGCAGCAATAGCCTAGAGCAGAGATTTTCTGAGTGTGATGGAGAACAGGAAAACAAGAACTGATTAACTTTTAGTTATAACGCAATTTTAATCCACGAAAAAGCCTCCTGGTGGTATCAGTATGACAGCCAGTGATAACTGAGGAGATTATAATGAAACAACATAGCCTGCTTTCTTTTCTCCTCAGCTCTGCTCCACCATCTTCCTTATCCATCCCTATTTTCCATGCCTAGACCTGTCCAGCTCCTAGAGGAGTTAACAAGAGCTTTGCCATCAATTCCAGGAGGAGCTGTGAATTTATATTGTAAATTGAGGCCAGCCTTGGCAACAGGCTCACAGAAGGGCCAGTTCCACAGCAGGAAGCAGAGGATGTGTCACGGACAGTGTTAATGCACTGTCGAGCAATAAAACCACTGGTTTCTGGCATATTATGGAGCAACATGACAAAAAATTGCAGAATCCACAATATTATCCTACCCACAGTTTTCTACTGACCCTAATTACAGTTCTGTTGCTCAAACTATATAATTTGATTTTCAACAGCACAACAAAAAGGCAGGAGCTCAGCAGTTCCCAGAGCGATTGCACAGTTTGCTGGACAAATGTGTTTTGCTTATGGTCAGGCCTTAGGTGAATAATTAATTAGATAATTAGATGTCCAAACATGTCTCCAGTAGGTCTACAGGGTAAGAACAGTTAGTTAGGGCTGGCATGCCTGGATGCCACTCCAAATGTTGAAAGTTGCTGGTAGCTCTTTTCTCTAATGGCAGGCGGTAGATCCAGTGGAGGCCACATTCATTCCAAGAGTAATTTTCTTGTCTTTAGAGCTAACCAAAGGCCTGAGTACCACTGGCATGGTGGCACTTGGCCCTCATGCATATGACAACAAAAATATCTGCTGGAAAAGGAAGATGTCATTTTACTCACCATGTGTATCTTGTTTGGACCTTAATGCATTTTGCCTTTCTCTTATTACCATACAGGTGCATTTTTGTTTATTTTGCCACTGAAGTCCCTAATTTTTTTAATTTTTTTTTTTTTGTCTAATTGCTGTTTACACACAGCTGTCATACACCATGAGTTGACTCTGCCAGATGAGCACTGCTGTGGTACAGTCAAAAGCTGCCACCCTCAGCTAACCTGTTCTTCTGAAGGAGGTTTCCACTTGAGGCAGCAGGAAGTCTTTTCTTCCACCCCTGCAGAGACATCAATGCAAACCCAGTCAAAAATTCAGCTAAGGCGAATGTGAGTAGACAATCAGGCTTTCCATGAGGAAACTGAGGTGTGACACACTCTTTACACCCAAGGTTGCCTGGTGGCAATAACCTCCAGCAAAGCAGCAGGTGGGAAGCCAAGGCAGCCACTTCTGTAGATGCTGCAGCAAAATCCACCAGAGCTCAGCATGGAATAATGTTCTTGGCATTAGTGGGAATCAGGCTTCCTCTGACTGAAGTAAAAAGTAGCAAGGGACATGATTTTAGATTGTTACTGATTTTGTTTCGCTTTCAAAGGCAGCAAGATTAAAATTTGAATTCTAATTATGTGCCTTTTCTCTAAGTCACAGCAGCTAACTAATTCCCATCAGTGCTTTCCCTAAGATCAGAAGCAAAGTTGTTACTAAAATATATTTTTGTCAATTCCAAGCCAGTCATATAAGTACATTGACTAAGATGAATCAGTTCCATGGTGCTCTCGTTCTGTGTTTAATAATAAAATAAAACCAAAAATTACTAATGAAATCCCAAATCCTGCAGTGTATTGAAAATTGCAGACTGTTGTGTGAGCTTGACCCCAGCTTATGTTTGCTGAAGCACAGTAAGCACACATAGATATTATAGAGCAAATAAGACACACAATTAAGGCAATACATTCAGCAAGATAAAACTAATAAAAGGTTTAGCTCTTCTCAAAAAAAAATGTGCTCAGTAGAAGACAATCTCTTGAAGCATGTGGAATGACTTAACATAATACATTTCCATGCTTAGATTTTCAAAACTGCAAAATACAGACATTTATAGGTATGTGTCTCAAATGTAAAATAATCTTTTAGGAAGGAGAAGACAGTATCTTTTTCTGACACACTGAAGGGGAATAATGTTCATTGTTTATGCATTTGCTCAAGCAGTGGAATTTTACATGGCTAAACTTCACTATGTCAGATGTATATCAGTTTAAATTAGCTCAAAATCCAACTCAACATTCATTTTTAGATCACAGTCTTCAGAGGAACTGATTTACCAGGGTGCCTAAATCCAGATGCACTACAAATAAGCCAGGAAAGATAAATAAGCCTCTTGGCATAAAACAAATGAGCCAGGGGGAAAAAGAAATGTGAAAAAAGGAATAGCTTAGGGAAAGTAAGAAAAAACCTGCCAGTGGGAAGAATGCACAGTTTCAGATTCCAGACACTACCCCACTTGGATTTCCTCATGTTCCACCTTCCCTCCAGCCCTTCCTTTTTTTTTATTTTTATTCTTTTTCCTTTTTTTACCATTGCCTTCTGGACCACCTTCCCTCCTCAAATCCATCAGCTCTCCAGTTTTGTATTTGCATTCCTTTTAAAACCACATCTCTTTAACAAACCTTATAAACCATTTGGAGTGCCTGAATGAGAATAGTTTGGAAGGACCAAAGAGCTTTGGGCATTGTGTGAGCAATGGTAGCTGCCTGGGTATGCTTCAAGCTCCCAACAAATACAAAAACAATCACCCCAAGAATAGGATCTTAAAATGAAAGGCAGTTAAAAGCAGACCCTTATCAGTCTTCTGTCAGGTATGCTGGTTTGCTGATCGTGGAGCTGTGATGACTTTGTAGAAGAGGAAAGTTTATAAAAGAGGAAAAAGTGAAGGAAAATTGAAATGTTTGTATTATACTAGTCCTATCAAGAAACAGTGGTCAAATTTTAATAAAATGGTAAAATACTACTGGGCAGAGACTAGGTCTCCTTAGCTGGAGACAACAGAGAAGCCCAACAGAGAGAAATCCTTCTTCCTGCACAAACTTTCCATTAATGGTGGCTAATTAATCTGGTACTTGGTTAAAATTTTTAACATATTTGTCAGGTCTGGCTCAGTTCTTATTCATCACTATTTAAGAACACAATAGTGTCTCATTTCCATCCATGTTCATGTAGTCTGGCTTGTATAGGGAGGTAAATTAACTCAGAGAAGTTAGATCTCTTAGATCATGGAGAAGAAAGAGTTTTATCAGGTAGCCCTGAGTGTAAGACAGTGCCACATATATTACCATTATACACTGTATTTCATTTTGCTCCTTGTTTTTTCTATCAGACTCCCTAGAGGCCTTAGTTTGTATTCATTCACTCTCTCAAACGTCTTCCCAGATGCTCAAATCCCACTTCTGTTATTGCAGTTTCTTTTAAATTTGTCTGGATCCCTTGTGCAGAGTCAGGACTTTACTGTTCCTTAGCTCAGCATTCTCTTGGCTGGACTCCAGCTCAGGTAATTATATCCAGGGTACTCTCAGACTTCTCTCTTTAGCTGCCTTTGGAGAAGTTATTCTTCCTTTTCTTTTTCAAGCTGCTTTATAGCACTGCAGATCCTGGGACCTGATGGGATGTGTATTTTGGAGAGGCTGTGCATTATGCATTAGGGGTGAACCAACACCTTCCGCAGTGGGACTGAAAGTACTGACACAGCTTCCTTTCTTTTTCATTTCAACGCTATTTTAAGTGGGCAGTTGTCACACCAAGCAGAAGCTGAAGGACAAAAATTTGGTCCAGATGAATCTGTTGCTGCTATTTGCATGTGGAGACTTCACCCTCTAATTTCCTATTCTGAATCTAGCCTGGATTTGTTCAATAGCTGTTCAGTGGCTTATGTCACTTGAGCCGGTTGTCACAAGATGCTTGCAAAAATAGATTCCTCACTTATTGGGAGAAATATCAATACAGAAGCTAAAGAGAGAACAAGTACTGCTAGAGGTAATGCTGCTACATCAACCAGCAGGAAAATTACAAAGAAAAGCAATAGAAAACTTAATTTTGCAATGCCTGTGTTGCAATGCCTTGTTAACCAGCAGCTTGTTAACCAGTTGTCTCTTTCTTCTATTTATCTTATGCTAGACCAAAGACAGTTCAGGGTATCCTTCCCAATGAAAAGGATTCATGTAGAATCACCAGGAGTCTAAAACATGTAAGAGAGAAAAAATATTTTCCTTCTTAACTTAGAAGCATGAACCATAAAGTTAAGCAAATTTCTGAAAGGAAAAGAGATATATAGTAAAAAACAAAATAAAGAATCATAATTGATCTACTTACTAGACGCTGCTCATTTCCTTCAGGATATGGGCATGGGAACTGGCTGCAAGTACTTATGCAAGCTCATGTAACTGCTCACTGCTGTGTAGTTCTTCCAAGGCAAAGAAAAGGATCTTCACACATCAAACAAGTAAACTCTGATCAATTCTCACTCCCTCACTTTGGAGGAATTTGAGTTGTTGCTATCAGCAGAATTTTAAGCTGTTCCCTAGTCTGGGAAGAACTGCTGCACTCAGAAAAATCTTGGGAAGACAAATTATTCAGGAGAGGTCAATCTGAGCTCACAAGAAGCTTAAAAACTGCTTTCCTAATCTAAACTTGAAGGTTTTACTTTCACCATGGGCAATTTCTCAGGGAAGGATCATCAGAGAACAACCTCATCTACATGGCCTCACTTGGAATGGAGATAGGACCAAATTACCTCCAGAGGGCCTTTCATGCCCAGTCTGCGCCCACAGGGAAATCCTTCACACCATGGAAATTCCTACCAAGGAAAAACAATAAAAGAAACAGCCATCAGATGCAAAATAATATAGACTATATTCAATATATTTTTGTTTTCTTTCCCCCCCAAATCTACAAATTTTAAAAGCTGCCAGCTCCAGCTCAGGTTTCATGTTAAAAAATACCATTTATACCCAGTGAGGCCATGACTGAACTTGGATCATTTGCTGAATTAGGTTCTCCAGAGGAGTCACAACCATCACAGCCTTCATGTGACGATGTCCAGCCAGCTGAGATGGTTTCTGCACTTGTCCCAGAAGTGAATAGAGGGGAAGGGAAGGAGCAGGGGTCTGTAGAAGTGTACATCTGGAAGTTTAACTTGACCCTGCTGCAGAGTTAAGTTAGCACAACCATTGTACAGTTTTGATGGCAGGACTTGGCCAGTGCAAAAATAGCTGGCACCAGGTTCACTTTCCTCCCCCCCTGCTAAACAGCCCTTTCATGCAAAAAGAAATTGACCCCACTGTACTCAGTAACATTTTTATCCTCCCTCCCCTGCAGTTCAGGGGTAAGTGAGCAGTCATAAATCCATATTTAAAGTTCTGTTGACTGCTTTAGAACTTGGGCAGTAAAGGAAATAAAGTAAGCACATAAGCATTTAGCCCTTGCACTGTTAAACATGGCATCTAGTGCTGGGGATAACTAAAAGCATGGTTGACTAAGGAACCTAAATAAAACTGTAAGGCACTACTATATGATTTATATCACATCGGTTTTTCTGTAATTTCTGTAAGTGGAAACCAGGATTGGGTGCAGGACGTATTTGCATAAGACAACAAGAACAAACTTATTTTAGGATTCTTACTGTAATCAAAACATTGGAGACAGGGAAAGAGTGAAAGTATAGAAACATACTTGAGCATTTTTATGAATTTTTATGAAGGAGAAATATTCAGTCTATACTGGCATCCATGTAGAATTGGTGCTGTTGGCTTACATTATACTAGATGATTGATGATGGTGCAACATAAATAGCTAATGAGCAATGTAATCTGTATTATTTCACGCTTGTTTATTTTCAGGAGGTGATACAAGAATAAAGCAAATTCACAGCTTCATAAACTTCAGCATCTGTTTCTTTTTCTGTTTGCAAACTTTAAACATCAAGCAGGTTTTGGGACCTGCAAGCAGGCAAGTATAAATTGCTTCCTCGTGTCCAACTCAGGATTTTCTTTTCAGTCATTATGAGTAATGTCTAATGTAAGAACAGCAATGGTTTAATCTTCCACAGAACCCAAATATTGCAAGTACATTACCAATATTACCAGGTGATTTGCATTGAACAGTGATATGGATTTTATCAAAGAGAAGCAAAGGCACTAATTGTCTTTATGGAAGCTATGGATCAAATTTTCAAGAGCGCTGACCATGTTATTTGCTGCAGGGTCTTTACACACAGGGCAAGCTCATCATGCTATAATCCTCACCTTATTTTAGTCCTTTGGTAAAAGAGCCTCAAACTGCTCCTGTACATTTCTGCAAATGCAGTGACAATCTCCTGTTCCCAAAATTCGTTAGGACAGCTGTGTATTTTCCTAAAGAAAATGTTGTCAGAGAAACAAAATGAATGCTTGAACTCTACAAGAAAGTCCTTTTTGGCTGCATGATTGCAAATGTTTGTAGATAAGCAAAACTGTTTTGAGTCAAACTTAAAAAAGAACGTGGAAATAACCATCAGCAAGCCAGAGGTGTCTGTGGAGATCATAGAGGATATATTGAGGGATATTAAGAGAGTGCTTCGATTCAACTGGGAAAGATCAAAGAGAGCCAGATAACAGCCAGGGGACATCAGAGTACCATGAAAGTTGCTGAGGATGTAGGAAAAGCCTGTGTAGTGCTGTGGGACAGAAGAGAAGCTGAATAAGGTATGTATGTCAAGAAACATCCCAGGGTGATACAGAAAATCAGAGGACACATCATCATGGCAGAGTTCTCTGAGAAGACCTCACACTGGTGTGAGATGCAAGCCTCAGGATGATGAAGAAAACCAGAGAAGGCTGAGAATTTCTGGGGACACGAAAACCAGTCAGCTAACCTGAGGGAATGTTACTGAATGCAATCACATCTAAAAGGGTTACAGCTGCTGGGTAGAGCTACAAGGATGTTTGAAATAAAGTCAGAGCACCCCTGCTTTATGGTGAATAACACATGATGCTGCACATCAGGGACCCATAAAGGTAAATGAAGAACAATTAGAAATATGCCAAAGAAAAACACATCCTATCACAAAATAAAAAAACAAAAACAAAAAACAAAAACAACCAAACAACTCATTGCTAGAGAGCATAAGGGAGAATCTGGAAAATGCTTTCAGAAAAAAGCTCCCCAGCCTTAGGAACCTTCTCGGAGCAGCTGCTGAGCTTGAAGAAGGCTATAGCATGTTAGGGAATGAGAGAGCAACTGTAAGGTGCCAGAAACAGTGAAGCAGATTGTGAGCTGAATGACAAATGTGTAAGCTGCTGGTTGCTATAAGGGGCTGCAGTGTCAGAAAATGTTGGAGCCTGCTACAGGTTGAATAGCATCAAGAAACATCAGAGAAAACCAATAATACCTTTAAGACTGTTCAGCAGAGGGATCCAGACTAAGGCAGTGAGTTATTGGGAGTGGCTAGCTAAGCAAACCAAGGCAAGGCTGTGATCTCTCAAGGGCCCAAAATACCAGGAAAAAGCTTGAGAAAGAATGCAGATTGCCAGGGGGACTGAAGAATCCTGCATATAAACTAGGGACAACTGAAAGCTGTGAGATCTGTCAGGAAGCACAGGGTAAGGTCACAGACTGAAACAACTCAGATGTCTGGTTTCACCATTTGACTAACAGAAGAAAGATGTGACCCAAGATAATCCTGCCTGCTTCTCTTTTGGAGAGCAGAACAGAACCCCTTTCAGTACTGTCTTAAAGCAATGAATGCTTCCTGCTGAACAACCATACAAGGCCATGTATGGAAAATAGCTATCCATCCTATGTCATTGTATGTGTTTAAACTGGGCCTTGGAAACCACACGAGACCAGGAGAGAAAAATAATCTCTTTGGGACAAGGGAAAATCTTAAAGGACTAAATTATGCTTAGGTCTGTGTGCTGGTACAGGGAGCCCTTCTGCCCTCCTCAGCAGTTACAAGCAGGTAAATATCCCCAGTCTTTATCATGAGTTTACAAAATACTGAGAGAGAGAAAAGCAGTGTGGAAAATATGTTTTATTCATGCATTTATCTAACTCCAGAGCACTGGTCCTAAATAGAGTAACATGGCCAATGTATTTATAATTCACAGTGCCAACTGGCTCTGGAGCAATGCCTTGCTGGAGCCTGGGCAGAGCGAGGCCCTCAGCCCCCATCTGGCAACCCAGTTTTACAGAGGAGACACTCTGTTTGAAACCTGCTCCTTGCTGCACATCTTCCCTAGGGAATGCCAGTGCACACCAGGACTGGAGCAGCACAGCTCCTCCCTCCCTCTAGCACAGCTCAGCCCCAGGAGAGACATTCTGCAGTCTGAGTTTGGATGGGGAGGTGCAAGGGGAAAGAAGACAAAGAGTTATTTTTCATCAGATCTGCTGTGGAAGGCTGAAAACAGCCAGGTTTCCAACCTCTTTCCTTTGTTTGCCTTAGGTCTCTCAGTTTCTATATCGGGCTCTGGTTCAGCTTCCATTAGCACTTCCCCATCAACATCACTAACAATGGTTTCCTCACTGAGGGTATCACTAGGATTATAGTTACTGCCAGAATCCTCTGGCACAAAATCACTGTCTGAGTCAGAGCAGAGAAATAATTAACCCTCATGATACTTCTCTGAAGAATGAACAGAATACCTAATAAGATTTATGGGGCCTCAAACTTATCCTGCTCCTAGGGAGAAAAGCATCCGCTCGCTGAAGTTCTCATTGCCACCACGGAGTGAGGATGTCCCTGAGCGGACCCAGGAGACATCTTCACCTCACCTTAAGGCAACCTGCATTCCTTAATTGAGGTAGTTACCTTACATGTCCAAACACCAAACCACTTGTTTACTGCTCTGGCCCTGGATTAGATCATGGTTTCATTGCCCAAAAAAAACCAATTGGAGTCAATGGATTCTCTGCTTCTGTGAAACTGGCCAGGCTGGAGGCAAGTAGGGAAAGACTATCTTACCTGAAATTACCAGCATTTGATTTGCAAATGGCCTTCAAATACTCCTGATCATATTCTTGTTATGTAAGATTAGATTTATCATTCAACCTACAATTTCAGAACTGAAATAGAAGAGTTGAAAAATTTTCCCCATCTACGGAGAAGAGTGTTGCCCCACAGAAGAGAAATAAGCACAAAAATATATACAAATTTGCAGGCTTTTGCTGTTTTTAACTATAGAGACAAGACTTTTCCTTCCCTCCAAAAAGTAATCAGTCACTTCAGTGGCAGGCATTTTCAAGTAAAACTGATTAACTTTCTAGGTCCAGAATAATCCCCTCCCAAAAGCTAGTAATATGTCTCAGTGGGATAGCAGAAGGATAGTACAGTCCTAGCTGGCTGGGAAGGCTCTCTGGAGAAGTACATATGATACAGATTTCTGTCTGAAAAAAAAAACAGTAGTCTGCTAAGATCTGGAAGTCTCAAAATCCTTTCACTTCTGCTGGGAATTTAGTTCAAAGCAGCTGCATGTAAATGTTGCATAGCAAATGCTACACTGGCAAATCTTTCTCATGATTCTTGTTTTTAAATCCACAAGAATAAACTAAACTCTATAGAAGAAGAGCTAGCTTTAGGGCAGCCAGTTTTACTCTGTTTTAAACTAAAGTGAAAACAACCCTAAGGAAAAAAAAGAAAATATTTTAAATATGTATGAACAACTGCACTGCCCACCCTCATCTCTTTGTGCTGCATAAAGGGGACACAGATTGGCTGAATCTTTTATACAGAGAGATCTGGCCAGAGATTCATTAGAAAGCAAGCTGCTACCATTCCCAGCTCCTGTCCCTCCCAGCCAGGAGTGGGTAAGAGGCAGGGAGACAAAGCAGGAGGATCAGTAGCAGGCTGGGAATCGCCTGAAGGCTTGTCATCTTTCTCCAGGCCCTAAAACAATGAGTGCAGTGAGTATTTCCTCCTCATTCACATCCCTTGCATAAGTTTTTCTGGTTTCTGTTCGACCTCTACACTTCTGCCTCATCTAAAAGAAAAAGGAACTTTGTCAGTAATTCCTGAGGGAGGTAGATCACTTCAACCTTTGACTGACTTACTACTCATTAAAAAAAATGAGATCAGTACAATGCTAATGGAGAGAGAAAAACACCTCAGCACAAATGCAATGGTTAGGGCACACTGCAAATCTTGTTAGGAGCTATCTCTTCAACAAAAAGTTACAGCCCTGGCATGGAATTTATGCAGATATTCTTCCTGCCCCCACTCCTAAACACCACCTAGATCTCCTTTCATATATTTCATCTAATCCAAATCTTATGAAAACACTAACCTTAGAGATTTGAGGTTAAAATTCCTCAGCAGACCCAAGACAACTAAAGGGCCAGGTAAATCCTTGCAACCTCCATGACAAGGGTCTTAACAGCAGCACTGTATTGGAAGTAAGGAAGCCCTTCCCAGCACTGATCCCAGCTCTAGTGTCTGCTTTATGTGGGTCTGTGAGCCCAGTACTACACAAGCTCTGGATCAGACACCCCTTAGAGGAAGCTGCCATACTGCAGACATCCAAGGAATCTGTGTGCTTGCAGTTGTTCCAGGAATTCACAACACAAATATCAAGCATCCATTTTGATGCTAATTTGACCATAATTTGGACCACTACCCTCACCAGGCTTGACCAAGGACAAAACTTGAACAAGGGAGCTTGAGGAGCTTGCAGAGTCTTTATTCTGCTGGCATTCTTGGCCACAGCTGCTCAGCACAAAGTTCTTCTCCTGCTCTAAGTCTGGGAGGGGGTATATGGGGAAACAGCTGCTCTGCTGCAGCTTCCCGAGCTGTGCCAGCCAGGGGGGCTGTGCCTGTCGAGTGGGCCCATGTGCTGGAGTCCTCCTCTGCCTGCAGCCCAGGGGATGGGAGAAGCTGCTGATTCAGATCCATCCCCCTGCTCAGCCCGTCCTACTTCTTGTGGAAATTACCACCTCTTGAGATCTGCCTGCAGAGTAGGCTCCTGTGGACACCCCCTCAGCTACTTTGGTCAACCTGGGCCAGACTTAAATGGATTAAGTAGGAGGTTTTTGCTAGCCCAGTTTGATTGAAGTGGGTTGAGGGGTACTTATACATGCATTTCTGCAAACACATCCTGAGAGGGCATTAATTCCTGGGAAAAGGCAATGACAAGTAGCTGGGACTACCAGCTCTTGTACTGCCACAGCTAAATCAAGAGTCTACTCAAGTGAGGCTGTGCAGACTCAGGGACAGGCATGAATTTTCTTTGCAAACAGTGAAAGCTACTATTTCCCACCAGCTGCAGTTGCTGCTCTCACAGCAGCACAGAGGGAAGGGGAAGTTACTCTCACTTGAGCAGAAAGTCAGCAGGGTTCACCTGCCAGGAAAGTTCAGGCCTTAGCTTTACAGCTGCTCTGTCTCTCTTTCTATAGGCTGAACTGAGGAGGAGGCAATTTCTATCTGATCCAAGCTCAAACATGTAGTTCAGAGTTAGAACTCAAGTTAACTTAAAAATTCAGAAGGCTCTTCTACCCCAGCTGCAGTTACACAGCTCCAGAGGACTTGGGAAGGTATCACTGTGAGCATCTAATCTCTCTTGCCTCTTCTGGTGCTTTGTACTCCTCAATTACATCAGCCACGGCAGCATGAACAGCACAGGTAAACCAGCCCTAAGTCATGCCTATCAAATAAAAAGCTTTGCTGCTTAAAGATTAATGTAAGAAATCAATGTGCTTGCAGCATGTGCCAACAGATGATCTAAGCCCATCTTAAGCAGGCTCAGAAACTTCACGTAATGGTGATACAAAATCTATGAGCAGTTAATGCTGAGAGTGTCTGTCTGCTTCCAGAGTGCTTCAAATGCTGGTTCATGAGCTGGCTACCAGATGTGCTCCTCTTTTCCCTGAAGGCCATCACGAGGACTGCTATTTCATTCTCAGATCTCAGCAGCCAGGGTGGTGACAGCAGAGGCTGCTCTCTAACACATGTCTCCTGCATGACAGCACATTCATTTGAATACCTTGCTATGCTGAAGGAACTGAAGTGACCACTTAACAGGAAGGGATGAATCTTTCCAGCTATCAAAACCGAGCAGCTTAACAAGAACACTGTCAGAACAGCATCCAAAAATGAAAGGGCAGTTTCTGTTCAGGATAGAACACGGCCATAGGCAGGGATGACTCTCTTGCCAGAGTAATGGCTATTACTATTTACATACATACACTCCCTTAAAAAGCAAGATTAGACCATATTAAAGGACATTGTCTCTTCTGATGGTTAAAGCAAACTAGGAAACAATGCTGCCTTGGGCAAGGTCATAGCTGAAATATCTGGCAAGTGTAGATCACGGTGTGACCTGATCAGAGCCATGTTTGGAGTGTGCTCCTTTCACAGGAGCAGGGGCACTGAGGAAAAGGAATGAAGATAGTAACAGGCATCCGGGTTTCACCCGCCCTGAAGCTGTGACTCAGCTGTGACAGGCACCAGGACAGGGCCCTGGAATCCTGCTGCCCACAATACAGCCTTAACTGCCATGAACTGTCTTTTAACAACAAAGTGTCACAAATATTTAATTATCTTGTTAGGACAATATAGCCTGAATCACTCTCTAAGATGCTTGTGTCCAAAAGAATAGAAAACCGGCATCGATGTAATTAACTGTGTATGGCTCAACCTGGCAAAACCTTCAGCCAAGCTGTGTAATACATAAAACCTCTAGAAAAGAGCCACGTGCTTTGTGCTCCTTCAGGAGCTGTGGAGTGAAACCTGTGGCTCAGTCTGGCGTGTTATAACCCGTCCAGGAGCACAAACTGCTTCTCACTGCAGGCTCGGTTCTCATGGGCACGGAGACTCAGAAGACAGTGAGATGTCAAGACCTCGGATCTCAGTGTATTCGAGATTTATCTGCATCCCTATGCACATAAATGCCCTTTCAAAGGAAAAAAATAGCCCCGTGTGATTAAAGTCTGCATCAGTACAAATCCCAGGCTGGTTTAGACCATACACACAAGAATGGAATGTATAATCACAATGCCTGGGATTCTCCTTAACTTTGCTAAGGGCTGGGTTGAAGGTATTTTGAAAGAAGCAACTGTATCTCCTTTAAGCATTAAGCATTCTTGGCAGTAATAATTGCCTCGTAACTAACTCCTCATTAGCACTCTCTCAGACCTGAATTACTGTGCTGACTTTATGTTGCTCCCGGTCCAAGAACAGGATTATCATCGCACCACCAAAGTCTGTGCTTAATTATACTGTTACAGATTAAAAAAAAAAAAAATTCCAATGAAATAAGTGGAATGACTCTAGATTTAGAGCAGCATAACTGAGATCAGTTTGTCCCATTGTTTCCCATCTAATCCACAAATTAGCATGATAAAGCACAGTGTTCTATACAAAGCTTCTTTTAGCTGGAAAGACCATCTTGTGTTACCCACCGGTAGTATGTCATGGTGACAGATAACTATTTTAATGAATTTAATACTCTTATCTGAATTCTTTATCCAGAGAAGGAAAATAGTTTCAAAAAACAAACAAACAAAAAAAAAAAAGAGCACCTGCTTTAGGTAGAATAAAAGCATTAATGTGAAGAACAGGAAACCAAATGTCTGACCCTGAGTGATGCTAAGAAGCTGCAACTTCCATGAACTTTGTAGAGTTGTAAGATCTCTGTGGATGATATTTTAAGATCTAATGCAAAGTTTTCTCTACTATTTTATTTCAGTTTGTCATTAATTCAAAGGAAGACACTAGATAAAACACCTGAAGAAATCACCACGTGCAATCCAGATGCCTGAACACAACTTTACGAAGCAGAACTTGCAGTGGTAATGCATGTAGGAGCTTGATCAAAGAGAGATCATTAATCATGTACATACAGGTTGATGAGGGGAAAGGGCCTGAGGAAAAACCACATGAAAAGTCTTCATCACACAAGTACTTACATTATTGCTTCATAGCTTTTTACGGCCTTAAATCCAAGCAAAAAAAGACCTTATCTAAGGTGGTCTAGGGAATACAGCAAGGATACACAAAGACAGACCGAGGAAAGGGTAAATGAGGTTTTACAGCATCCCAGATTTCACTTGCAAGTGATGGAATGGGCCGTTAAGACCGTTGGAATGATTTCTTGCAGGGCAGAAAGCAGGAACTCAAGAAAAGAAAGCAAGATAAGTATGTATGTTTTAGCAGAATTCTTACTAACTACTAAATTATTATTGGCTGCATACCAAACACTCTACACAGTGATAAACAACTGTTCATTTTATTTCACTAAACAAAAAGCCCATTGAAGGATTTCTACTATTACTGCACTCACTGGAACTCACTTGAAAAATACAGTTTTGGACATACATCAAATACAACTTACAGCTGAATAGCTGCACTGGTCTGACTTACTTTCCAAACATGTCAAGAAAATGTTCTGTTCTCCAGGCAAAAGGAGAACAACACAGCACAGCAGTGCACTAACTACAGGTATCAGACATTCCCTGAGGCTCAGAAATAGCTTCTCTTAATTGTGGAGAGTTCAGCAACTGGCCCTGCTTTCAGGGGAACTGGGGGCAGGGGTGATTTCATATACAGCCCCTCATTTTGGTGGCAATCCAACAAAACCAGTAGGAATTCCCATATTCTTTCTTGCCACCAAAAAAGGTACATTTTCAACAGCTGTGTCAGCATAAGAGTACATAAGGCCACACAGTAAACTAGAAAACCAAATTCATCTCAGTAAAAAAAAGCATTACTAAAAATGGTGTTGCTTTTAATCCCAGCATTGGTTTGATCCCCAGTGCAGAGTTACAAACAGCTGTGGCAGCACAATGTGGTGCCATAGGTGGTGGTGGCAATGGCAGGGATGACAAAATCCTTAAGATCTGCAGCCAGGAACAGGCTATGCAGAGCTGTGTATCAGGCTGTATAGAACTGTCATTGTGACACATCCCATTTCTCTCAGAGGCAAGGCCAGTTACAAAATCACTCCCTTCTTTGCCCTGACTGCTGCAGTTTGTCACTTCCAAAATTGTGCCTATTGGAAGCTGCATCCCAAAATGGATCATGGAAATCATATAAGTTATGGGGGAAAAAATACCACAATGGGTTTGTTTTTCAATCTTGCTCTATTACATTACCTCAACTGCAGGGCTAATGACTGGGCATTGGCAAGCTCCTAAACACTTCTGTGTCAAGGAACACATATAAGATCCTGAACAGCGGACTCAAAACTAAAATAGTCTCAAAAGTGTTAATGACTGGGCAGCCCAAAACTGAGGCTCTTTCATATCCCACTCAAAAACCTGGGTCCAAATTTGGTGAACAATGGTTCTGCAAAATGTTGTATGTGTTACAGGGTTTGTGCTCCCCACACCTTTCCTTACCATGTGTTTACATCCCCTACATATCTGTACAACACTACCAAATGCAATTCCTACTCTACTGTTATAAACAGTTACCCAAACCCAAGCAGAGTAGAGAACCATTCAGTCCAGGTTAGGTTCTGTGTTTGGGATGATTGCTTTAGGCTCTGTCCATATATCTATCACCTGATAATCTGTTGATTCTCAGCACCTCTGAAAGACAATTCTTGTAGTTCTGGAGCTGGGTTCTGTGACACATCAGCACCTAAACCCTGTGAGCAGCTCTAGAAAACAAAAATAAAATAAAATAAAACCAAATCCTTAAATCTTTCCACCCTGCATTGCCCCCATTCATTGGTGCAAAGCCCTTTACCAGAATTGTTTAGATCACATAACACCCAGAAACTGCAATTTATGAAGTCTGTCAGCCTAATCACTGTAGACTTTTTCAGAGTAGATCCCCACCGTAACAATTAGTTTCTGCTTTACTGACTCAGGGAATTTTATTCTAGTTTTTCTCCCCTTACCTCCCATCCACCCTTTTATTTCTATGCCACATTTCTTCTTTCTCTCTCGCACGTATTGTGCCTTTTGTGGCCAAAAAAAGCCTGCAGCTATAGTATTTCCCCATGTTGCTAGTGGAGACTGCAACAGCCTGCATAATTTGTCCCCTCAAATGCAGTTCTGCCCTAAACCTTCCAGTTTGTTTGGCCACACTGGTGAGCTTTGAGTTGTTCAGTAAAACTTGGAGCTATGAATCATTATCAGGAGCTTTGGGTTTTCAGTGAGTCCCTGTGAAATAGGGAATAGAGACTGCAAGTTTTACGTGCTTGTTGTCACTGCAGCCCTTGCACAAGCTGTGTGACATGAGCAGAGCTTAGCTCTGGGTCTGGCTACAAGCTTTGTGCTAGAAAGACACAAAAATCATTGCAGGGAATGGGATTTTAAAACATAATGCTAGAAATCTCGGATCGCCTTTTTCCTCCCTCATTTCATTTTTGAGGGGAATTTTTAAGTTGGCTTTATGTAAAAGCTTTACACACGCAGGACTGAAAAGCAGAGTTCCCCAACCTATTTCATGATTCTGTCCTATGTTATTCAGCCTCTCCCCCCCAAAAGAGCAGCTTTAGTTTAACAATGCCTCAGCACCCCTCAGCAAGGCAGACCAGGGAAGGCAGCGAAGGGCTCCCACACATCCTTTTTGTTCCACGCGAAGCCAGCCTACACCAGCTTAACACAGGCCCTTCCAGCCTGGGAAAACCTGGGAATTGCTTCAGCTGTGAGGACCGGCCGAGCAAACAATACCTCAGGTGCACGGCCTGGGCCCTGCCCTCACCTCCCGCCGGACCCCCAGGCTCCCCGCTGGCCCACCCGCGTCCCCAGTAGCCTCAGGGCGTGAAGTTGCCGCGGAGACAGCCCGTACCTGGCCTGGCAGAGCCCCGCAGGTGCCAGCCCCGGGCG